TTTCCCTTCCTGGGGTCGGCGGCACTGGGCGGCAGCCCTTAAATATGTATAGAACATCTATGAACAACTGCAAGCATACTTAAATCTCGACATACCAGATCGTTCGTTTCACTCCAGCTGTGCAGATCTTTTGGTTGATCCACGCACAGTTGTCACAGGCGCCGTCTGAGCGGCGTGTAGGAGTGTCTCGAGCCTCCAAAGCAGCCACCACACTGGCTAAGAGTGTGCCCTTCTCTGGAGGCCAAGGCTTACCTGGCGTGAGCAGCGCATGCGCCGTCGCTGTGGCATCGCGGGATAGCGCGAGCGCGCTTGAGCTCGTGGACCGCTGCGCGGGTTGTTGGTTGGTTCATTTGGGCTGGGAACAGCGACCGCACAGTGTCGCTTCATGGCGCATGAGGCTCACGATGGCCCGTCCTTGGGCGGTTCATCCTTTCACCCTGGCGCAGATCAAGATCCTCTTTGGAAGCCCAACTCCGAACTTAAAACAGAACACTTACAAGTTCCATCCCCCTGGGAATTACGCTTCTAACCCATGTCCCCGAAATATTATAGCTATAAAACGGTATGTTTGACTACTAGTAGGGGTACCTCTATTGAAAAAAACAAACTATAATTAAAGCAGTGACATGTGCAAACATGCTTCCCAGGTAGGCACCTCCAAGGGCCTTCTCAACTTCCTTCTGTCTGGGCAGCTCCTTAGGCTGAAAACGGGACTTCTCTTGGGCTTCACCCTGTGATATAAATGACTCTGACACTGATGAAGTGCCAGCCCTAGGGATCCAAGTACCTTCTCTGTAGGTGAGGACGGAGACACTGTTATGTAGGTGCCAGGAGGCTTCGGCTGGATCCTGGATCCCTAGGGCAGGAGATACAATTTCAACCAGCACCCTCCAGGTGTCCTGAAAAACAACGAGGTCCTTACACCTGTCGGAGTCGAGTTCTCCGATCCTGGAAACGGGCCGTTTCGAGGACCGGGTCCCATGTCTTCTCGAAACGACCGGTGTCTGGCCAGAGACGTCGGAGAACGGTCATTGTTTGTTCTGGTGAAAAAGGCGTTCGAAAAGAACGGCACAGGATCTCACATTCTATTTGGATAGCAAGGTGAGATAGCAAATTCTAAGCCGTCCGGGAGCTCGGTGAGCACAGGTGTCTGCAACCCGAAACGGCATGCTTCTGAGTCCTTTGCGGGTGTCTTTTCACTGAAGAATGCCTTTGGCAAACACATCCTTCGTTTGAAGGTCTAGGTGTATTATTTGTTGGAGGCCGCTCCCCCCAAACAATTGTCACCTGGAAGAACGATCTTTTGTGAAAACATATTGAGTTCCTTGGATCAAAACACATATATATATATACCTGGATCTTCGAAACGGCTGGATCTTCAAACGGCACAAATTTTTGCCGGAGGCATTTTTTGGTGAAAAGACGCCGTAATCAAAAAACATGCCGTTTTTTGGGTTGTACAAAATCCATGGACGGGGAAAGACGCCGTTTGGACGCCCAAAGACGCCGTTTGGACGCTTAAAGACGCCGTTTCTTTTTGCTTTCTGCCGGCGTGCGCCTCGTCACAACAAAAAACGCCGTCTTTGGAAAAAGACGCCGTAACGGCATTTTTTCCTGAAAAGGCAATTATTTGTGCCGTTTCGAAGATCCAGGTATATAAACATATTATAGCTTCCAAAGACTTCCAACATCTTCCAACCATGCAAACTGTATGCCTTTGGGCTCGTTGTATGGATGAACGGGCTGAAATTTAGCACAGTCAGTTGGAAAATCCTGGTATATACTGTTGAACTTTCGGCATGTTGGGGTTGAATGGGGTTGGGATTGCGTGAGAACTCAAAAGACACAAACATCTACAATGCCATGGTGGTCTCCTTCAAACAGCCTGCCACCACTGCGAGTGTTTCCAGACGTGTTCACATATCCGAGCATCAAGCGTTCCTTTATCCAGCCAATTCTTGCGCAGGAGCCTCAGTGAGAGTAGCTATAGAAAGACAAACCGCACAGATCCATGGTTTGCAGTTTGCAACTTGCAGTCTCACATCAACATGTATAGTTTTGCTTTTGCTTTCTGGTCTGTGTGTCCTGCGCGCCATCCGGGTTGCACAGTGAATTGCAGCTTGTAAAGGTCACAGAATCCTAGTTACACCTCTATCCATGTCTGCCCGCTGCAGTCTTCCTGGCCTTGCCCAAGGGAGTTCTTTGCTTGCGTTTGCAGTCAGTAATACCTTCTTCCAGCATAATTCAAACAAGGCCTGAACATGAAATGCTCTTCCTGACTTAGGCTTGGGCTTCCCCAAACTTCAGAGCGTGTTTCACAAACAATTTCACATTAAGTTCACCCGTTTTATCACCTTTTCCAACAACTTACAGTTTCAGCCACCTCTCAATCTTTCACTATGTTGAACAGCCAACGAACACCACTGCCCCTCTTGAGCCCGAGCCAACAAAAACAAATTAAGCTATATCAATTGGGGGTCCTAGGTTTTTTGCTTTAAAGTGATTGTTGTTTTCCCGAACCGGGTGAACCCCCAAACCTGGACACGGTCTCTTCAATTTCGATGTTTATTTCACAGGCTTCCTGGATGGCCAATCAATCCCATGTAACATGGGAACCGCCGCGGCACGGAGGGCTCTTCTCGCCCGTGAGCGTCGTGGCGTCGGTGAAGTCGACGACGGCCAGGTGTCCCTCAGCGCGTTGGGCGCCCGCGTCGAAGTTGGAGCCCATCCACTGGTAGGTCCTGGCGAACAACACAAGCGTTTTTGGGACTAGAAGAAACCATATATATATATAATAATATATATGTATTGGGTCTATCCTATTACCTGGGCCCAGTGGATGATCATGGTTCAGTTGCAGGCCTTGTTCAAAAATGACGATAATTGTTTACTGACTGTTGCAGGTATCAGGACAAACCCTAAATATATACACCGGTGGTTTCAGAGTAGATGGCACTGTCACACCAAGATGTCTTAGATAGAGAGGGATCCACTACTAAACCATCTAACTTGGGGATGGTGCCATCTACTCTAAGACCATATAGTAGTTTGTACCTTGGGTCTATCCCATGACCAGGGTCCAGTGGATGATGATGGTTAGTTATTATGTGGCAGGCCATTTTCCAAAATCGTGATGTTCTTGTTTACTGACTGTTGCAGGTAGTAGGACAGACCAGGTTGACCCACCCAAATGTACGGGGTTGTCATGGGTTCCTTTTTGTGAGTGGGTTGTTTCTGTCGCTTTCTGCAGTGGCTGACCATGCTTTCTGAGTGGAGCTGTAAGTACCCGACAGGGCTCCTGTCCCGGGGTGGGGGTTTTACTGTCGTCCAACTACTACCTTCTGAGGATGTGGGTCCGGAGTCCCAGCGGTAATAGGAGGGGAATTGGTTTTGGAGGACATGTTAAAAGAGTTTGGTTGCCTTGTTTCTGCCAAATCCTTAGTCAAGTCGATAAACGTTCGAGATTCACTCTATGAAAACAACGGTGGGACAGGAATCTTAGTTGAAAGCGTAGGGCGTACGGTTTGGTCGTTGTTTTGTTTTCCCCCGGTGCCGGTCAGATTCAACTTGAAATGATGATCATCTGAGGATCTGAGCGGTGGGATTCGAGCCCGGGTGGAAGCATCTGAGGTGAAACACAGAAAAAGGGGGTCAGCATGTGGGCAAAAGCAGTAAAACTGAATCCACCAAAGATTGACTATATACCACATTATAAAACAGGTCTCTCTCCGATCTCAGACTGCCACAGACTTCACTTGCCCCTGTCCATCTCAACTTCACGCTCAAGTCCCAGGTGTGTCTCATCTGACCTCGGACCTGGCGCAGCGCGGCGCCCAACGCGTCGGGGTTGCGGCGCCCAACGCGATCGCGTTTCACAGGTGCCGCAGCGGCTGGGGAAGGTCGGGCCAGGTCGGGCATCGGGGTGAACAGTGTCAGGTTTAGGGTTTAGGGTTCTGCCAGGTCGAGCACCTCTGGTTTTCGTGGTCCAATCCACCGTCGTTCCATTTTTTGGGGCTGGATTCAGCATGAGTCTGCTGTCCTGGACTGGTCCAGCATGTGTAAGCTGATGTGTAGCTAATGTGTAGCTCATGGGAGATGAGAACCTCATGCATCGCATCACACCTGCAAGAGGCTGGAGCTTCCATGATCTTCGAGTTTCACTCGTTCGGCGCAAAATGGGACATGACCCCATCAAACACAGGCACCTTCTAGATCCTTCTAGTAGACCCATTTTCTGTTCGGTCGTACGAACGGGTCGACTCCAGGTACAATCGCCATGCACCGCAAGGGCAAGGGCAACAGCAACTCTAGGAATTGATGATCAGGGACCAACTGACGGTCACCCATGCCTCGAACCGTGCTTTGGTTCTGAGCCACAGATCTAGGCATGAACATCAACTGTTGCTCCTCTGTATATTAGAAACGCACCCCATGAAGCCATTTGGGGAAGAATCTTCGGAGTAAACCATCTCTTACCCAGCATGTACATCAGCACTTGGTGACTTTCATAATCTCAAGTGAACCTGAATTCCGGGTCATACAAGTTTGTGTCAGGTCAGTCCACTTCCCGCCTGGAACATAGAAGCCTCACCCTCGACCTTCTCCACAAGCGTCACAGAGAGAATCCCATTGCCCACCTGCCCAATGCGGGCAGTTGCAGGAAGGCACCTTATCTAGGCAATGTGTCCTACAAAGGACGTCCCCACCAGACTTCTTGCGCTTCTTGAAGCAAAAGCAAGAAAGATCAGTGGAAAAGGCTTCCAAACAACCCAAAAATAGAAACAGGGACACGCCCCCTCGCGACCAATTCCCCACCCTCTCTTAGTCTTATCCCCACGCCCCTCCCAACCGCCCCCGCCATGTCGCAGCACCTCGCCTTGACGCTGGGCGCCTGGCAGCAGCAGCGCTTCAGCAGTTCGCGCGCGGCGTCGCTGCAGTCGCCCTGCGCGCCCGTCCCGGTCGATGCGACGGGGTCAGACGTCCGACGTGGAGGGTAGGATGCCGAGGGGCCCGGGGCGGAGCTGGCTGGATGGATTGGCGTGGTGTGGGGAAGAGTCAGGATGCAAGAGTGAACGGACTAACTGGCAGATTCCCTTCCTTTCATTTCACTGAACTTCTGAATCCAAATAGGAAGAGCATGAAAAGCATTGATCTGGTCCGGTGTGGATAGTGCTGATCCACACCAGTCCGCATGTGTTCATAGGCCCGTCTGTCTGTTGAAAGACATGAGCATCAAAACCACATTAATCTTCTAGGTACGTTTGTGGGCCGTGGCATACTTCAATGCGCCACCAGCAACACCCCATCAAGTCACTTGCAAGTTTGAGGATGTTCTCCTCCAGTTGGTTTAGAATGCTTCAACTAACTATTCTTCAGGTCACCAGCCCCTTCCCCCTTCAGTAATCACATGTGCCCCAACCTTCTGTTCTTCATGAACCCTTTAAAGGACCTGTTTTTCTCTGAAACCTTCTGCGGGTGCCGCATGTCCCCGAAACCGTCCGCTTTCAAACGGGTGGAAGAACGATGATTTGTCCGACTGGGCCTCGACGTAGGAGAAGCGATCCGTCTGATGCGCGGGCTTGTCAACCCGCTCGGGCACCTTGCAAATTCAGCTGTACACATTCATTGCACGATGAGGAACAGCGCCCAAAAAGAGAGGCTGTCGTTCCTTTTGTTCAGTGTTTTCACACAGCGGCCTCAATCTTCTGTTGCATCTCCTCAAACATTCTGCGTCGCGCTTCTGCAGCCGATGCCTGTCAACTCTGCAAGTGCGGGGGTATCATGTAGATTGGATGCTCAAAGCGACTCAGACCCACGAATTGATCTTCAGCCAGGTGAGCCTCCCTGTGGATGTATTCTAAAAAGGTGAGGGTGCCAAAGGCAAGGACCAAAATAATCTATATATGTCCAAATATATGCTTGAATGATAAGAATCTAGACAACAGCCTGCCCCGAAGAGCTTAAGACTTAAGACTGCAAGGAGCTTGACCAACTCATGTAATGTGATGGATGAAATAAATCCTTATCGTATCATTTGCGCAAGAGTTGGAGATCTCCAATACCCACAGTGATAGTTAGGCATCACACCCAAGCTAAATCGTAGCGAGGTCTTTTCCCTAGTAGTAAGGCCAGGAGCTACTAGTAGCGTCCTTTTGCTCCATGTTGAACATGTTGATTGGGAATCTGCTCAACCGGCGAGTGAAGCTTCTCAGGCCCGTGCGACCATGTCTCAGTTGGTGGCACCCGTGCTCATGTCTCGTCCGGTCCGGGTGCTTTTCGCATGAGCCGCCTTGGGATCTGGCTTCTCATCATCAGAATCGACCAAGTGGTCAAACCTGAGCACTTCTCAGAACCTTTCAGCACCTGACACAGTTCCATGGACTGCAGCGGATCAGTGGAGGCATAGGTTTTTGAATCTATTCTGCCTATTTCACTCAGCTTGTGAAGCCAAGTGAAAGATCTGGAATGAACATCACTTAAAGCCCCTCTTCACTGAAGTAGAAGAGATCTTTCCAGCATCCTGCCAGAGTCTCCTATCAAAACCATCGGAACACAACTCGTTGGAGCATTTTCAGTGTAGCCATTGCAGCTTAGTATGGGTCAAACACAGCCTTTTCACACTTCGCAGTCCTGGGCAAAGCAGTAGGCTGAGACCATACTCCGCAGATTTCAATTTGCCATTCACATCACTAGTAACTCCGTATACATTGACAAGTTAAGCATGCCTCACAAGTCTAGAGTCTTCTCGCAGCAAGGATAACCCTCCCAACTGCCGACCTGGAGTCAGAAAAAAGGCTATACAAATCGACCCAGTTTTTGGGGTTCTCCTATTGGGTCATGTCCCATGTTCATCCCTTCACCGGACCGGAGAGAACACGTGTGGCCGTGAGAGACGGATCTGTGGACGGATCGGCCTACGCCCTTTGAGGCTTCGTTCGCCCACTTCAGGTGAACTCATTTTGGGATCTGTTCCTGGTGCCATGGCACTTGGAATAGTTCAGCGCCATGCCTGGCGAGACTGTACGCGCTGCGGCGCATGGCGAAGCACGGATAGGACACCCTTGAGGATCCCGCTATAGCGGGGGG